CAATGAGTTCACTGTACTCAAATGGCCACCACAGTCACCAGATCTCAATCCAATAGAGCATCTTTGGGATGTGGTGGAACGGGAGATTCACATCATGTATCTGCAGCCGACAAATCTGCGGCAACTGTGTGATGCCATCATGTCAATATGGACAAAACTCCCTGAGGAATGCTTCCAGCACCTTGTTGAATCTATGCCACGAAGAATTGAGGCAGTTCTGAAGGCAAAAGGGGGTCCAACCCGTTACTAGCATGGGGTACCTAATTAAGTGGCCGGTGAGTGTATATTGTCTGTGTAAAGACATTATACATAAGTGAGAGTTGATACTATGTGTTAAGTGTTTTCAATACAGTTATAAATGTGCTGCTAAAGTAATTTCCTTTTAACAGAAGGTGTCTTGAGGTAAAGGTTCATTTTTTTACCAATTAAATATTAGTAGAAACATGCTTTTGAGGGACCTGTTACTCAGATTACAGCAGCCTCATGGACACAATAAAAGCGCTGAGGAAATTAAAAACCTGTGGTGCCTCAGTATGATCAGCAAGGTCAATAACATCAAGGCTTTAATTAAATGACTAAATTACTCTGCGGTTGGTGGCGGTTCTGGCAGAGGGTGTTTCTGTAGATATTGTTAAAAATGTGTTTTTTCCATTTGTGTGGCCACATGTTCTGCCAGTCAGACTAGGTCAACCAGTGAACTGGCTTTTCAACATTGATTTGCCAAAAAATCCATAATATGATTTGTTCTAATTTTTTTTGTTTTGTCTTCTTTTTTGTTTTAGTTTTATTTTATTTTAAGCGATGAAACCAGAATTTATTTCACATTGAAAAGAGAGACTGATGAAATTGCCAGATGGAGTAAACATTTGTACTTTGCTCCAGGTCACTTAGTAGAGTGTAAACATTAGCTCATACCTGAAACGGTACAAAACTTGTACTCTCTAACATATGAAAGGCCTTCTATTATGATATTGCTTAATGGCTTGAGAGCTCTCATTTTATAATCAAACGTACCGTAAAAGCATTTTATCTTCCATTTTATCAAATCTGTTTTTAAACTCGCTACCTGTGTTCCCCCCCTACTTTTTTTCAGTCTTATCCTTAAGTGACAGAGATTTGCTGCTTCTGATGCTGTTAGCAGCTGCTTCCCAGTATAGGAGTCAGGAAACTGCTTGGTGTGAAACATAGGATGCTTTCAATTCACTTGTAGTCCCAGTATGTAGTTGGGGAAAAGAAATGACACCAAGTATACACCAGAATCTCAAATCATTTTGTGAGGCACCTTTTTTGTGTGTTATACTTGTGTGATACTTTTTAGTAATATTTTTTTGCCAGTTGTCTTGAATATAATTGGTCCATGATGGCTCTATAAGTTCCCCAAAGAAGCACAAAGATGAAATCTTAAACAGCAGAGACTGACAACTAAATGTTGTTTCAATTTTTTTATTTTTTATTATCCAAACTCCTTTGTCTTTGTCACTACCTGATCCATACCGGAAGCACAATCTGTATCGTAAGCTCATTTGTGCATGTTCAACCAGATATTAATCCTGGATGCCATAAATAAGGTTATTATTGTACTAAAATTATATCAACATATTAAATTTAAATTATATTAAATTTCTATCCTTTAATCACTAAAGAATGCTATACTTCTCTAAAAAATATTTTGTGACTTTTCTGAGACAATTTAATGTAGTCTGGCAAAATATGATAAATCACATTGATCTGAATTATTGCCATTCTCTTTCTTTAGATTAAGCACTGTATACCGTAAGGTTAGCATGAAAGGGAAAAAAAAAACTCAAAAAGACTAGATATAGTTTAAATCCAAAGCTGAAAAAGTTAGCTCTCGGAAGTAGTGTACGATTCCATTTCTAGCAGAGATGAGTGATAAAACAGGATTTAAAGTCGTAGAGAAGCGGCTGTTCCAACGTTTGCAGTTCTGAATTCTGCCGAGTGGTGCCCGACTTTACACGAGTGAATAAAGTGAATGTGATTGTTCGATTATCAAGGGGGCAGGATTGTTGTGGCGGAAGATTCGCAAGCAGGTTTGGTTGTGGCCGGTGTCTCGGAAGCATCTTGCTAACCAGTTAGCAACTTAGTGCTAGTAGGTTCCCAATGGGAAATTATATTGGTACCAAGGAGAACATACTGCATGTTTCTGCTATGAACAGCAGAAACATGCAAGAGGAGGATAGTTTTGTGTCTGGAGACACAGACGCCCATCCTGGTGAACACTGGGACGTAACTCAATGGTAAAGTAAATTATTCTTATTTCAACCGTTCCATATATTAGCTGCAACATATGAATCAAGATGCTATGACCAAAAGAATGTGATCGACAGACGACCGTTGATATATGATTGGCCGAATGCAGGTGTACAAGCTGACTTATAACTAACTGGCCTGCATAAAACAACGGGAAAAAAAGACACAGATTTTAAGACAGGGTTTTTTTAAATAGAAATTTTCTAACTTTTGGGACAATATCATCTGATAAAGGATACATTTAGATACATGTTTGGGCCAGAATGTTTTGAAATTGAAATATGACTTCCCTTCTTTTAGATACATTTATTTTCTCAGGAAATTATTAACCTTTAACGCATTATAGTTTGTACTTTGTAAAAAATACCTAAATTACATCCCCTTCCCCCTAAAAGTACAAAGTAAAATCGAGGGCGACCCAGATGAATATCTGCTTGCACATTCGCAAATGAGGTGATGGTACGGATCGTGCTTCCCATACGGATCGGATAGAGACAGTCTTATTGGGTTTTGACTGATATTCAGGGCACATCATGGAAGTTTTCGAGGCTACTTTTAATTACTTCATTTAGAAAATGTTCAATAATTTCTTTCCAAGCACTTCACTATGAATGAACCAAGATTTTTAATGTTTAACCAAATATTTGATTGTTTTTATAATTTATCTTTTTTTTTCCATACCCCAGCAGATTAAAGTGAGTCCTCTCTTAGTTTCTGATGCATACAAATCTTCCCAGGTATTTGGGGGAAAAAAAATTCCTCCCTCCGTACCAAGAAGTTTGAACCTGGTGAAGACTTACAGTAAACGTTTGACCTCTGTGTTTCTTATTCAACATCACTGTAGTTATCTTAAAAGCAATTGCAGGTGTCCAGCAAAGATAGCAGGTATCCATTCAATCTTTCTCCCATAAGCATCAGGCTGTCTGTGGTTATCTAAAGCTTTATACCCACCACCCTCCTCACATACTGCCATGGAGCACATTGACATTGATGATGTGGGAAAAGTGCATTTTTTTTTTTTTCATCCTGCAAAAATCCCACCCTTTAGCTGTTTGATAAATTGATGAAAGAAGAGTTGATAACAAAGCTGCATTTGAAGATCAAAAGTGGGAGAAAAAAAATTAAATTCATGATTTAATTTATGGCTGTTGATAAACTGTGATATCAGTCCACTTTCAGTTTGCTCCATAGGATAACACTGTTAAGCATAGCATAGCCTATGCTTTTTCCCTCTCATCGCAAAAGCACCTTGTCTCCTGAACCTCTTTTCTGCACTCAGTTGATATCTTTTGCAAGCAGCTTGCAGAAAGTATCCTTATGATGCACCACACTTGGCACATATTTCCCGGGGTCATTGAGCAGAGAGCAAAACAGGCTCTTCATATGATTGATGAGGAAGTGGGATTTTAATTCAGTTACTGAGCCGTCACCCTGTGGCCATATCTGCATGTCAACCATCTACATTTGGAAACCAGCTTTGCTGGGAACAATGGAAGACGAGGAAAAAAAACGATTTTTCACCCATCTGACAAATTCTGTTGTGATTATGATCTTGCAAATTGCTTTTTACAATTTTAAAAGATCTTTCTTGGCTCTTCTTAATAAATGCTTTAGTAATTTGAAAAAATATATATTTGTTTGTTTCTTAAATATTGTAAGTCTGTCACATGTTTTCTGATTTCTGTTATTCAAACTTACTAATGTGCGATGTACTACTCTGCCAAAACATAAAGGCTAAACCCAAACAGATTTTCACGAGGTCATAAAATGGGATAAAAATATCAGTTCCAAAAAAAACATAAACATGTAGACCCAAAATTATTCATACCCCTGGCAGGTTTAGGTTAAAATTAATCTTTGAATTGTGTGTTGAGCGAGTAGTATACTAGAGTAATGGCCTTTCAATCCATAATACTCACCATAGATTGTGAGTATGATGAAAACAGCTGGTCAATTTATTTTTAGGGTTTGGCAGCTAAAATATAAGGGAAGAATTGTCTTTTAATAATTGAGATTGGTGTTAATATACAATAAAATTATAATTTTCATAATTTTATTGAATTGCAATTGATTTCTATTTCAATCCTTATAGTTATTGTACACTTCCTTATATTTTGAGAGATGCCTGTGTCGTTAAGTACTAGAAACAAAATTCTAGTTAAATTGAATTAAAGCAAACCAGTATTAGTTTTATTTTGGGCTTTATTGTGTGTTGTAATATTTTTGCTAAAGTTGTGTAAAATTTTAAAATGCAGAGAAATATTCTCTCATCTTTCCGTGAACTATGAAAATATCTTTTTATATTTAACAATTGTTTACAGCAGTTTATCCCTGGAGGCTTCCTCATGTTTATATAGAATTAATCAGAATACTAATATCCCAAAACGGCTCCTCTAAATGCATGTTTTGAAACATTAAAAAATGTCTTCCATTATATTAGAGGTTTGGATCATAAAAATACTGACTGAATATTAATATATGGACCCATATTTAGAAACATGTTTATGCTTTCTTCTGTTGTGGTTAATTATGTGCCTGCATTATTATATTTCCATTTTGAATTTCAATGATTCTTTATTACAAATTGCCCTATTTTTTTTTTATTATTAATGCCAAAATACTTTATTATAGTCTTGGGGGGTTACAACAGTGTTGTTGTATTTTCTGAACAGTAATATAAATTACTTTTGATAACCTAAAATCAAAATCTGCTTCTTTTCCTCCATTAGGGTAAAATGGTTAAGGGGATGGGAGGAGCCATGGATCTAGTGGCTAGTGCTGGAACCAAAGTGGTGGTCACCATGGAGCACTCTGCTAAGGTGTGTATACAATATGTTTGGTGTGTGATTGTGGGCTTTTAACTTCCTTTAAATTCACTTAAGTTAAAGCATCACTGCATTATTATATTGTTACTGACTATAATAGCTTAATTTTAGATATATTAGATTATTTTTCAGTTTTTTGCTCCTATTAAAAACACACCTATGTAACTTAAAGATATTGTGACCCAGAGTGTCACTTTATGGCAATTTAAACTCCTCTTAAATACAAGACCTAACTTGGCTAGAAGTTGTAATGAGGTACACTTATCTGATCAGACAAATTTATGGTTCTCTAATGTAGGATTTAATCTAGAGGGATAAATGTAGCTTTCCTGACTTCTCAATCTACTCATCCAAAGTTATCTGCTATCAGATGCCAAAACATTGAAGGTGACCTTTTTGCCACTGTGCTTTTTTTTGTGGCCTTTGGGGGGTACGAACTAGTAACTAAAAGTTACAATGTTGTTTTGAAGAACCAGGAAATCCCTTCCTGTCATTCATTTATTCCAATGGAGTGATTGCTTAATTTGTAAAGTTGATGTCTGAAATAAGATTTTTGGATAAGGTGTCACTTCCTATTCCACTTTACCCTATTTACTTAGAGAAATGTAAATATTTTCAATGTCATTAAGCCAACTAATTTGGTCTGGCTTATGCTGGACCTGATCCCTCAACCTTTCATGCAGTTAACCATCAGGCTGTTATCAACTGGTAGAGGACTGGATTGATTTACCAGTATCTCAATTAAATGATTCACTCCATATTTAAAAGACTTTTTATTTAAAAGATTTTTTTTACAGTTACTTAAGTAATAATTTGTATATAATGATGGTGTACCTTAAGATCCTGTGCTAAGCCCCCTGTTAATTCTGTTGTAGTGTGCATTCTACACCTTTAGCACATTTTTACCACTTTCACAGATCTTCTATCAGTTATGCAAAAGGTATTCAGCAATGCATTTGAACTTTACCAGGTTTATAAGTTGCATTTCTTGCATAGAGGCTTGGCAAACAAAGTAAGTGTTTTTAACTGAAGCCAATGAGTGTTTGACTTTTGCATTTGAACAAATTTGTTCCAATTTATTTTTCTTTAAGAGCCAAACTAAGCTGAGGATTTCCTTTTTTCCATGTCTGTCTCCTTTGCCAGTATGCTTTGCTTTCTGTAATAATGACAGTGACTGTTATGGCTGATTAGGGACAAGTCTGTTAATAGATTGCCTAATGCCTCTTTATCTGAGAAGGCAAGTTCATTCCTAATGAGGTTTTGCCCAGACGCATTGCTTCTTCATTTGCATTTTTCTTTGGCTAATTTAAAAATGACTCCAGAATTGGAGTATATTTTTTGTATTTCTGTTTGTTGTTTTTGTTGAGGTGGGTGATTAGTAGTTGGTTGGCAATTTTTTTTTTTCTGAAGTGTACTTTACTGATAAAATATAACAGTAAAGTATATATAGTATAATTGAAAAGTCTAAACTGAAATTGTGCAGATGGTCATTTTGTTGTATTAACAGAAGGATTCAGGGTGTTTTCTTTTTTTGACTAATGGGAGTCTGTCTAGCACCCAGCTCAGGTCCAGATGGTGCAGCAGGTGAGGGTAAATTTACCGCCCTAAAGCCTGCTTTCATGCATGAATTGGGGAGAAAAAAACACTAGGACATGTAGGAATTTGTCTTCCTTTTCTAAAAAAAAACAAAAAAAAAAACAAAACGGTTTATGTTTGGTATATCTATAAGATATACCAGAAAAGCTCTCTGTTTACATCTTGAAGCTTTCTCTCTCCGGTTCTTTTCCTGAGATCACTTGGGACAAACTCTTTAAATAATACTTTATAATGTATCTGTATTAAATAACCACGAGACATGACAACAGATTTAGACCAAAAAGTTGCTTAGGGTTACAGAAGAAGTGGCCCCGAATCACAGTTAAAGAAGCATTTTATACAACTCCAGTATGCCACATCATTACATCGTGCATGTTTGCAGATGAGGAGACATCCATGGATACAGGTAAATACAGAAGTTAGAACAAGTGCAGACTCTATCAGCTTTTCCATTGTTTATCTTTACAGAATAATTCCTGAATCCTGGGACACTAAAAGTACTAGCAGTATTTTAGTTTCTTGTCATGAGGGAGAAAACAGAATTTATAGACTTTTTCTCAGATACCAACATTCCATAGAAAAGAAATGCATTCATCCTATTTTTGAAAAGTAGTTTTATGTTTTTCTTTATTTTCAAACCTAAATAGCCTGGTGGAGGGAAAACCAAAGGCATGCATTCTGGATTTGGCCCTTTTTGGAAAGAGGTGTCTTTAAGATTTTAATAGCCACCTTTTAGACTGCTATTCTACTTCAGTCTGAGACTCAGTTTAATATGCAGCTGACTATGGCACAATGCAACACAGGAGGAATGATATTTCTTTCAATCTTAGTACAGCAGCCAAGAAATCCATTACCAGGAAATGACTTAAGCGCCAAACACTCTAATTTAGAGGAGTGGTTTGAAATTGTCTATGATATATTTAAGATTGAGATAATAACTAACTATATTATAATGCAACAGGATGCTGTTGTTTCATTATTGAAGCAATGGATAAAAAAATTAAACTTATGAGAAAAGATTGGGCTTAATGGTCAAGGATTTAAACTGTATTACCAGCAGGACCTCAGAAGAGTGAAGTCTTATTTTTTTCTTTTTACATCTGAAGACACACTATAATGTTTTTATGTCTTTTGTTGCCCACATTTGTAGAGATTAAAAACCTCTGTTTTATCATGATGTTCCTGCATAATTTAAACTACATGTGTTAGCAAATTAAGTGTCTGCATGTTTATGCTTCTGTTTTCTTACAGGGAGGGAAACACAAGATTTTGGAGAAGTGCAGCCTTCCTTTGACTGGAAAGCAGTGTGTGGATCGAATCATTACGGAAAAGGTGTGAAAACTTTGCAACTCTGCCAAGGTCAATTTGAATTGAAATAAAGAGTCAATGAAAACAATTAGATCAATGAGCTCCTTAGCTATAAACTAGAAGTTAGACTGTGAACAATGTTTATATATATATATATATATATATTTCAGACACTTATTTGGACTGGCTCTCTACTGAGATTGAGCTGGGTTTTTTTTTTTTTTTTTTTTTTTTTGTTGTTCCTTTTTAGGATAATTCAACATCGTTTTTTTTCGATGTTCACATCTGAGAGTTTAATGGAGTTTAATGCTCCCTTTTATTTGTAACCAATTCACTTTTAGGCGTGAAGGGAGAGGAAAGCAGATGAGAATAATGGCCTGTATATTGTTTTCAGCTCAGTGCTGACATTGATTCAGCTGTTGGTTTTAGTTAGGTTTGAACAGTTACTTCACACCATACCTCTAAATTGTCTCTCTAACATTACAAATGGGGTTACCACCACATTAGGATGAGCCATTGGTTCCCACACGCCCTGTTGGTCCTCAGAAGGCCAGTGGATATGCCAAAAAAGTTCCTAAATAGGTACCATAAACCGGTAAACACACACATACACGTTGATTCACACTATCGTTGTGGGGACTTTGCATAGGCTTCCATTTATAATACATTAATTTCTAACTCAGAACCTTATTCTTAACCATTACCAACACATACTTAACCTAAACCTAATCTAAACTCAGTTAACTCCTTAAACCTAAACCCTGACCACCACCCCAAAAAGAGAACTTCTCCACATGGGAAACATTCTTTGGTCTCCACAAGTGTCTATAAGTCCCCACGATGAAGCATATTCCTGGGAAATTGTTCCCACGGGGTAACAAAAACATGGCCACACACACAAAAGCATTTTTTTTTATCTATTTAAACTTGAGACAGAACTGATCCAAACCTGAGACTAGCTGTTTTCAGAATCAGAGAGAGGCAGTTTATTTAATGTATGTTTACAGGTCACTCTGTCTGTTATGGATTTGTTTTTAACAAATACAATATTAAAAAACTAAAAAGGAAAATTCTCTCCTCCAGTGAATTTGCACACTTTATATAAAATAGTTTTCAGTCTGTTAGATTTTGCATACACATGAGTAACGATCAAAAACTACAATGTCTAGAAATTAATGAAACTATTCCCACTGGACTCAGGGTTCCAGAGCAAGACCCTTAACCACACACCACTCCCCTGGTGCCGCACAATGGCAGCCCACTGCTCCCCAAGGGGATGGAATAAATGCAGATGAATTTCATTGCACTGTACTTTTCAGAGTGTAATGACAATAAGAAAGCTGGAAAAAAAGGTCTTACCTGAAGATTTTTCTTTCCAGAACATGATTTTATATTATTATTAACAGATAATGGAAAGAAAGCTTTAAAAACAAAGAAACATCTATTTTCTAAATTAGGTCTGCATTTCCTTTAAGTCTGTATGCTTTTCTTACAGATATGATTACATGCTCACATGTGTTGCACTTTGATTATGTGGAATATGATTTTCAAGCGGTTCAATTTGAGACTAATGAAATGGAGCCCAGAGGCTGGTCGATGAGCACTGGTTGCCATTTGATACCGGTAAAGGTTCACAGAGAACAGCTGTTGGTAATAAAGAATTATCTATATAATTGGACCCTTTGTTTAAAATGGAGAAAGCTTGGAAGTAAAAAGTGGCTAGCAATATTCATCCAGATATTTGAGTACTAAATGTTAAAAGTATTGGAGAGAAATGAAAATCAAGTCAAGAGAGGAGCCCCTTCTTGTTTTAGATTTTAGTGCAGATGTAGCTTGTGTTCACTTTGGTCAGTTCCCTTTTTCCACCCGTAATGACTACTTTTAAACTTTGTTCTCTAAAAGCATGACCTGTCAGGGACAAAGTCTGTGTGACCCCCACCATCCACCCACCAACCCACTCATTCCTTTCTGTGCGGCTCATTTCCATTGTGATCTCACAGCTTTTCTCAGCAAGTACTTTTCTGCTAACATTTGGAAAAGGTTAAAGCCCTTTGTGCTGCATTGCTAGTTCTGCTCCCCGTCTCCTTCATGCCAGCCTCTGCTGTCTTGCCTCTAAAACACTCCCTGAATACACTCCCAGATCTGTTTTCTCTCCAGGATACATTTCTAAACTTCCTAACTGGTGACTTAATTTTCTTCTCTTTCGAAACGTTTCTTTTGTTTGTCATTTGTATTTTTAACTTTGCCTCCTAAGCTTCATTTTTTTTTCCACTTTATTCCATTTTATTTCAATTTGTGAGAATTTTGAAGGTAGTCTTTGACAATGCAGGTGGCCTCTTTGTAATCTTTGTTTTCACCAAATTTTTTTTTTTCTTTAATCAAGATTCATCCCAGCTCAAACAAAGTGAATTTCCCCATTGTTGGACAATCAAGGGATTTACATTACATAACCAAGATGGGGTTCAACATGGAAATATAAATTGGAAAATTGCTTGGATTACTCAACGAGAAGATATCAAGGTTTTTAATGTATTTTTTTGCTATCCATTTACTACCGGTGAGCCTTTACAAGTTGTTCTCTAAAAACAACAACGCTTTCATGTCAATTATGAGAATTTTTCATATATGGTCTCTGCTGGAATTGTCTAGTGTGAAAGGAAAGCAATAACTCTAATCTACTTCCATCACGCTTTATGACAATAAAGAAGAGAGAAACAGTGTTTTAAATCATTTACAAACGATGATCAATATCAGTCGAGAAGCTGCCTGAAAGGCTATCAGAAGAAGAGTTATGCAACATTTTACTGCTTTATTATCAAGGCCATAAGATTGTTTTGAAAGAAAAAAAATCCTTCCACGACAACAACTGAAGACTTTAACTGATGTTTTACTTGTGTCTTTTTTTCTTCTTTTTTTTCATAAGACATCCCAGCAATTAGTGTCTATTATCTGGTGTTGTTATTTTGCAGCTTAACGTCAGAATAATACAGGGTTGCAGCTATCTGGTCTCTCATAAAGCTGTTTAGGGCTGCCTGTGGGCTCAGAAAATTATTGTTACGGTGCTCATCAGTGGTGAATCATTAGCCTGATTTTGAGCACCTTAAATCAATCTTCAGGTGCCTTCCTTGCTTCCTGCCTGCCTTCCTTCCTTATTTCATTCCTTCCTTCCTGCCTGCCTGCCTTCCTTCCTGCCTTTTTTTCCTTCGTTCTTCCATTCCAAGTTATCATCTTCTTTTTTCTTCTTATTTTTCCTGAAATTGATAAGTACTTGGGGAATGTTTGTCTAAAAGATTACATTATAACATGAAAAAGGCCATTCTATAGCATTTTATACTGAACTTTTTTTTTTTTTTAACAAATGCCTTTCAACAAAAAATAAAAAAGGACTATTGAGAATGCACCAGCTGACTGATACATGCACAGATGCTGACATGCACAATATCTCTCAAACACATAATCTTTGTTGGCTCTTAGCAGCCTGCAGGGATGGTAAATTGAGAGTTGTCCTAAAGAGTTGTTTTCTTTTATTTGTAAACCTAGGGTGGTGGGAAACCTGTTGCCTCAGGCTGTGTTTACACTGCTCATCTTTGTGGGAGAATCAGCTAATATTCACTCTTTATTTTTTAAACCGCACAGACGCTGTGTGAATGCCTGTTTACCTGCAGTAGTTTTGTGTGGTTTATCAGAGGTGGAATAATAAAATAAGAGGTCCTTTGAGTCCCCCTCAATCTTTGAATACTAAAAAATTGTTTTCATTTTGGGATTTTGTTTTAGAAAAAAACATTCACGTCTAAATTAAGTTTAATGTCTTTAAGATAATTCAGTCATGATAATGGTCCCAGCAAAATGTCACCTTGTAATTTTGCATAATGGCAGTAACTCCAATGACAACACTTACAACTGCTGGAGCCAAATTGAAATTCTTTTATAGCCCCATCAGGAGTTTTTCCTAAACACATTTCCAAATTTGTTTATTGCATTTGCTGAAATGGTTGGTTGAAATAACCTTTGACTAATTGCTGCTTTTGCCTTGTTCATAGTCATGTTGTTTCCTAAAAACATCAAGCTTTGTTTTTTAATAGACATTAACCCCACTTCCAGCTATACAAGCATATCATTCTACTTCTTAATTAACAATTTTTAGCAGTGGATTTAAAAACTGTAAAGAAAGGTGGCCAAAAGTTCAAACTAAAATGGTACAAAATGGAGCACAATATGCACAAAGTGTGATAATTAGAGATTAAGTCAACAGGTTAATTCAGAATGTACCGACCCAGACTACTGCATGTCATGCATTTCAAAGCAGAGCCAGAGCTTACCGTCGGTGACATAACGATGACACCTATTATAACTGCACACCATTCTCATATTTTTTACCACCACATTTGGGTTATTTTGATTAACATTTAATCCCACTTAATCATTTATGACAAGTTTCACAATTAGAGATGCATGTCGGTATCTGTGCCACCCGTAGACCCTTGTTCCTCGTGACATTCCATCTGTCTTGCTATATTGAAGTGAGATATCTGCCTCCTGCCCTGTCACTGTGTGGGGTCCTAATGAGCTGAGAGTCCTGACAGGCTTTGCATGGATGTGGTTGAGGCTTAGCCTGTTAGTCTGTGCTGAAAAAAAGGCATCAGCTCTGCAGAGTTTTCCTGATATTTACTTAGCTAATCTTATATTGTTCATCACAGTAGCAAAATAAGGTTATTTTTTTTTTAGATTCACTTTTAACACTTGTTTTTATGAGGTTTTCTCGAGACATGAGTCAGTTTGAGCTTCTAACAGTATGACAGTTATAGATGAGAATGTCATTGCTTCACAACATTTACAAGAACATTTTTGCTCGATATTTCTAACTTGAACTTAATAGTTTTATTTACAATGGAGAAACAATGGGTGCTCCAATTGCTGCTGAAATAATACAACAATATGAGATGTAGCACAAATTTTTATTTTGTGATTTGTTTTTGACAGCCATCTTGGATTTAGTCTTAGTCTTCAGGATGAAAACTATTATTAGTATTAGTCACATTTTAGCCATTAGGATATGTGATAGTATTAGTCGGTTTTAGTCTACTAAAAGTTTAAAACTAGACTAAAACCTTTTGTCAGTTTTATGTTGTAAAATAAAAAGTTAACCCTTACAATTTCGAATAACAACCAGATTCTTTGCCAGACTGACTGCTCTTGCCTAGATGCTACAATGGCTGGGTATTGAATGCTTCCATGCACTTCATCACTGCTGTTGGGAAGAAAACTTTGATTCATAGAATTCAAATAAACTTTTTATGAATTATTGCCCTACTTTACACAAAATTGTCTCACAAAAGTTGTGAAAATTCCAGATTTAGCTCAACACTTAATGATGGTTAATATAGCAGAGAGAAAAGCTAAAAAATTGTACAATAAAGGAATGGTTTTAGACATACAAGGTTTACATCCCAAAGCAAAAAAAATCCTGATCTACTATGAATTATGCATTACACACAGATCAGTAAAATCTTATTTACTCCAAAAAAGCAAAGAACATAGAAAATCTTCTTTCTGCTTTGGCAATTTTTGCCAAAAATACAGAGATGACCTACATATTTGCCTTGTAATGCCATGGCAATCCAGACCTAAAATGAATTAATATAATAACTCTTATGTTTAAATATTTAAAGGAAACATAGAAACATTTTTTAATGGCAGTCACCTCCAATCATAAATACATTCTGGATAGACAAAAGGAATTTTACGCTTGGCAGAGGATGATCAGCAACCTAGTTTATTAAGTAACGAGAGCAGGAAGAGCCATACTGCTGAGAGTGAACCCTCGGTGGGGAAAGAGAGACGCAGACTCTGAGCTATGCGCACGCAAAGATGCATTTCTGCACAAGCAAAACTGGAAGAACAGTTTTTCAGAGTTCAGTGCGCCGTACAGTTGTTCTGTCGGACCATGGCAACAGCAGCAGGCTGAAAATAATCCAGAATGGTCCGGGTTTCCATCTGTGGACATGCAGAATGACCACAGATGCCCACCTGGCATGCTGCGGGGCCAAACATGATCCAGCAGCACGGCTGATACCGCCTAGCAGCACAATGACAACATTTTAAATATCTGACAGACTACCCTGTAAATTTTATTTAGTCTCATCTTCTGTGAGTTAACTAAAACTCAGAGCCATAACTCTCAAGTTTTTGTCAACAAAGATTCATGTTTAACTTGTCATCATGGGAAAAAAAAAAGCGTACACAAAAAAATTTCGTCATCCTCATCGTTGACGAAAACAACACTGCTTAAGTAGAAATGTAAAATCACAAATTGTATATAGAATTAGTTACAAATTATTTGTGCTCTGGTATGTTTTGTGCTTAATAATAATAAACTAGATGTTGTTTAATTAATTGCTAACTAAAACCAACAGTCTGACACAGTACCATTGTCCCTATTCCACTAGAGCGCCAATAAACTGACTTTTTTTTTATTATTTATTTACACATAATCAGTACATGCTTTAATTCCAGGGACTTTCATAGCACTACAATCTTTTTGCTGTAAGAATCATATACTGAGGACATGTTTGTCATATCACTGAATCTGCTCTCTGAGAGAGCAGTTATTAATATTACTATATTTCTAAAAAAAAAAAAAGTGATTTTCTTTTCTACAAACGGAAGACAAAATTAAAATGTCTTCTGTTTGTAAAATTAAAACTGCTGTCAACAAAAGTATTTTTTTTACTTGTTTAAGTTAATGCTGATCACTTTGCTGGTCTGACTGTTTACTCCCTGCCTGAGCTAATAGGCTAGGCCCAGGCATGAACTGTATTGACTTCTTTCATCACTACTGTTTTATCCCCTTTAAAACCATCATGTGTTTCATTAAAAGTGTTTCTAACAGATACTTTATTTGGTGGGTAAGAAATAAACATTCTCTTTACCACATTACCTTCTGATGAGACAGGACTTTTGCAGAGATTTTTGGCATTTTATGTTTACAAGGTCCTCCACAAGACCCTATAAGGGACAAGTGGATAAAATAAATCAATAGGTAGAAAGTGCAGGGGTCTGCAATTTGTTTTTGAATCCAGATATAACAAAAAAGCTTCAATAGTATTACATTTTTCTTTAAATGGAATGATTGCATTTGATCTCTAAAACAAACTATGTTAATGTTTTATGCATTTTGCAATGTGGCATTCATTTTCCAGTTAATAATTATGACAAAAATGTTAAAAAAAAAGCATCTTTAATCATTAGCGCCTCCAAACAATTTTGTTTTTTTACATTCTTCTTGACCAGGGTTTGATGCATTATAAAGGTTCAAGACCTCTGATGTATTGAGCATTTTTTTGTGTATTCAGCTTTCATCACAAATCATTGATACAAGAATTGGAAAGGTTGAATCTAATATTTAAAATTATAAAATATAAACTATAGTTCATTTTTAAACATTCATACCTATTTTCAACTGTTCACCTATTTGTAGTGGTCCAGATTTAGGGAGTCAGGAGCGTTGTTTTCTCTGTCCTATATGTGTCTTCAATAACTGCAGCTTTTTTGCCATCTTCTGTGTAGATGACACTGAAATGCTACTTTGTCTTCATACCTGAACTGATGCTTTGTATTTTATTACTTTGGATGTCTTTATAGTTCTGTTAATGTCATCTTGATATTTTTATTTATTTATTTCTTTTAGCCTAGTAGTATGGTGTACTCCAATGGATTTTGTCATTATGTCCCATCATCAACCATCTTTTGAACATTTTCCCTCCACTTCTTTTTTTCATGCTCATTTTGTTCGACCATCTGTCTCTTTTTAACAGGCTGTGTTTGATGTGGATAAAGTAAAAGGTCTAACTCTGATTGAACTATGGGAGGGACTAACTCCTGAGGACATCAAGGCATGCACCGGCACAGATTTTGAGGTGAGCATCTCAACCTACTGTACCTACTGTAGTGGCTGATATATTTTCCTCCCCAAGGAAGATTGTATTCAATTGAATTTTGAATATTAAAACACAATTGTGACTTTGTTGAACTTAATTGTTTAATGACAACTTATCTTGACCAACTTCACATTTTAGCCTCCAGATGGTTTGCTAAGGTTATTAGCTGGAACTAGAAAAAAAAACAAAAAAAAAACAATAAAGGTGGTATTTTTTGAAAAGTAGTTAATCAAAGATGGTTTACTTTCTCTGGTTGAGTCAAACCTCAGATTACATTAAATATAAAGCATAAAAAGCAAGCCACGAGTGTAGGGGAGGCAAATTCACTCATGCTTGTGACATATTGAGGGCCTCAAGGTATTTAATCTGCATCCATAAAATGTTCAACATTTGCAGTGAGAGTCGTTAACATGCCTGCGCTTTTAAATAAAACTGCTTGCACGAGTATTTATTACACATGAGTGGAAACAACTGGTGGAGGTGAAGGACTGAATTCTTTCTGCTTGTTGTACAGACAGAAAGACATCCATATATTGCACTTAGAAAATGTTTTCCCTCTTTTTTTCCATCATCTCCTTGTCATGACACAAAGAGCAACAGTAGGTAGCACTTCAATGTTTAAAGCAAAAAGACTCCAAGGATTGTATCAGAATTCAGCTAGGAGTTGCAGTAGAGACGGATGTTGCAGGTGTTGTTTTGACTGCTCTTGTAAAAGAGTAAATGAAACAACCAAAAAAAAAACAAAACAGTCCGGCACTTCAGAGAGCACAACAAGATTAAGGCTTAAAAAAGGCTTAATATAATAAAAATTATAAAGGCTTTAAAAAAATTATGTCTTAAAATGGGTCTAAAATGTACGTTCACACCGTACAAAATTGACAAACTTTGTCTAGGTCTAAGAAGTAGCTTTTTGTAACCTATCATAACTACCCTCTTCTCTACACCCATAAACAGGTCCTCATCCATCCTAGTGGTCAATGGTTATTAGAAATAATTGCTGGATTCATGTCGTATGTATAAACAAAAAAACAGGAAGTTAGACAATTACCAAAGAGTACCAAAAAATAATATAAAAAGGTGCTTCGGTTATATGTATTTTATAGGATTGTTGGTATTTAAATGTAGTTACGTTCCCCCACTGATGGGAAAAGAGCTTATTTGAAAATATTATATGTATTCAAATGCCAACTTGGTTCCATATTTTGTACTCAATTGTGTGTTGCATCAATTAAAATGGCCAATGATAAATTATGCCCTATTTTTTTTTTTTAATAAATTTTCACCAGCAGTATCAGCATCTGTTTCCCTTGCCACATGTCATAATATATAATTTTATAACCAAAAGCCTGCTATGCGTGATATTTCTCTTTTTGTTTTCCCATCCAGGTGTCTCCCACCTTGAAGCCCATGCAGCAGATTTAAAGGTGTTTCAAGTGGATACAAAGTTTTTTTGGTTTAATTTACTATGTGCTAACCAGCTGTCCATCAAACATGATGGCCTGTGTCAAATAAGGTTGCATACACTCGTCTGGTTCAGTTACCGTAATGAGTGTTCAAATATCAGGAATTACTCATCATCACTGACTCAGGAACAGGATTCAACTGAAGTGCATGATTTTTATCATGAATGTCTCACTGTTGGGGCGTAATAACTTATCATTTACGTGTGCAGTTGCAATCAAACGTCCATTTTAAACGCTTTGGAAATGGAAAAAAGGCAGCATTATATTGAACATGGCGGCCGCATAGGAATTGGATCACACTTACTGTAAGATCAATGCTTTGATTGTAATAGAAAACGATTAAAAATGCAAAGCCAAACGGTTTCAGATTGTATTTTAGATCTGTAAATTTGTCTTTTGTGAATGAACAAAGGCTTTATATACTACTCATCCACTGTTTGATCCCTTTTTCAATTATTCCATTTGGAGAATGAGAGAGATTTCATAAAGTGGTTTAAAATTACATGATAGTTGAAGAAATCTCTTGTATGGAATCTGATTTTTTTTATTTCTCTGTAACTTCTGCAATGCAATTAGAAAAGAAGCCTTAATGTTTTAACAAATATCCGTTTGTACATAAGGTGAAATAAAACATGCTGTGGTGATTTAACATACAAGAAATTGTTTATTTTATTACGTTATATTTGCAAATGTCAACAACCAGTAGATTGCTGCTTTGAGGGCAACACATGTTGGAACTTTCTCCATCTACATGATGGTCTTGATGTGATTTCTCTACTCAACCAGAGATGTGCTGCAGGTACCTGAGGGCCGTTACGTAACCTCTGAATTAAGCCAGAAGGCTTTTTGGTGTTCAGGAAGATCAACTAGGTTGGATCATCAAGCAGAAAAATGGAAGAAAGTGACAGGGGCTTTTGCTAACGGGTGTTTATTTTAATCCAGCACAACTGTATCCGCGTTAAAACCAAGTGGTCCCTGATAAGCCTACTATACATCTCGCAACTCATTTCTCATAGTTTATAAATGGATTTCAAAGATATGATTAGATTTATCTAGGACTTAATGTCATCAAAAATAATTGAGCATACCTTTTCAAAGTGACTCATCTGAAATTGGCTCAGTAAATGGGTTTAATTCAGTGGGACTTCAACACTAAAGTGTGTGAAGGAGTGTTTTCTTTTTAAGTAGGCAGATTTTATGTTTCAGTTTAAGTCGCAGGATGTTTCTTATAATAAAAACAAAAAAGGTTAATGCAGCCGGAGAAACATGGCAAACTGGTCCGCAATAGGCAAGGTGAGTAGATCTCAGATTTTATTGGGATCTCAGAACAGGATAATATAAAATCTTCATGTCATTAAACTGCAGAATTTGTGCAGCAGACACAATCACTGCACATCCCCCCTGAACACACCACCCACACAGAGATGCTTTATGGTGGGAGTGTGCTGTGGCAATGTTTTTCCCCAGCAGGGACAAGGCGGCTGATCAGAGTATACAGGAAGATGGATGAAGCTAAATGCAGGGAAATCCTAAGAAAAAACAATACTTCTTTAAAGGCTTGGAAAGATTTTAGACTTCATGGGAGGTTTAATTTCCAGCTGGGGAATGACCTCAAACAGCCAGAGCAACAGCGGAATGGTTTCCATCAAAACGTATTTATGCATTTAAAAGGCAAAGCCCAAAACTGATCAAACCGAGAATCTGTGGTGAGATTTGAAAATTTAAATCCAGACACACAGATTAGTTTAATTCTGCACAAACTTGGGTGTCAAGATGCACAAGGCTGGTAAAACATTTCCACAGAAATACATACTGGTTTGGTTTTAGTGAAATCTTAAAAGTGTTTTTTGTTGAAACTTTGAATTTTTCCCCTTCATCTTTGTAGTTATGGATTTGGTTTTGGTTCATTACCTAAAACACAAAGACGAATGTGACTTTAATTTGGCATCATATTAAGGGCCCGATCTGGGAATACTCTTGCAAGATAGTAAATGAAGCAGTGTGACTAGATGCTATGTATGTGGGCAATGTTATAGCCAGTATCCTTGAAAATGAGCGCTCCAACATTTCTGCTGTTTTATGCTGACATGTCAGCACACTTGTCATAAAAAATTGTTCAACACCAACGCACAGAGAGCCGAGACTATTGCTTAATTTAGCTGTGGGATGTGCTAATGTTCAAGCAGTATGCATATGAAAAGGATTTAGGTCTATGTTCTCAATCTTTATACCACTGTGACCTATTTTACAGAATGACTCATATGAAGATGGCCAGCCAGCACAGCTGATTTTCACCACAGATAGTAAGCTACTTAATCCTAAATTGCAAACTCTGTCTTAGTGGGAATAATGTGTTTAAATTAACTTTCCTAGTCAGTTGTGGGTTCAGAAATATTCTTTGTAAAAACACAATTTAAGAATATTCTTGATACCTAAACTTGATCATGTCACTAATCTAATCTCTCCCAAACTCTTGAGTAGCTTTCTTTTCCTTCCTGTTAAGACTGCAGCTCTCTTTACCAAACCGTTATATACTTAACTTGTATGAAAGCAGAACTTTGAACAGAAATCTTAACAATGTCAATTTGTGGCATATCCTCCTTGTTGAGGGTCTCTAATACCATCTGAAGGACAATTTTTAATCAGGAGTCTTCCCCATTGTGTAGGTGTGGGAATTTCTCAAGAAAATATGTTTTATTGGTTTTATATTCTAATTCCCTACGAAAGAAAAATTTGGGTGACAAATTTTAGTTATACTAATGAAAATGTAACATATTTATGTGACTTCTTTATTGTTAAATGCATTTGCTAATTTCCCCATCATACACATGAATTTCAGAATCAAGTTTGTCAAGTAGGTTTGCAAGTACAAAGAATTCCCCCTAGTGTTGACAGTGCAGACAAATTAGATATGTATACAGAATGAAGAATCTGTAGCTATATGCAATATATATATACTATATACACAGTAGAATGTGCATTAATGTAACACAAGAGGTCTGGAGATGCTACCTTGGTGCAGTTTGTAGGTCATGAACGGGGGAGGGAGAGGGGCAGTGTCACGGGGGTCTCTGAGCCGTGTTGATAAGGCTGGTAGCGGGTGGGAAGAAACTGTTTTTGTGGCCTGAGGTTTTGGTCCTGATAGACCGCAGTGTCTGAAATAGTTAGTGGCTGGAGTGCGAGGGATCAGCCACAATTTTCCCTGCACGCCTCAGAGTCCTGGAAGTGTAAAGATCCAGGAGAGATTGAAGACTGCAGCCAATCAATCTTCCATAAGGATTTGAGGAACATCATGTGGTTTTTCAAAAGAATTGTGCCACCCTAGAGCAAGCATTTCCAAACTGGTGGTCACAATATAAGGGGTGATTGTTAAATGGTTTTCACAATCATGGTGATGTGATACCATGAAATACATATTTGTTTAATGTAACGTGAAATAAACAAATGTATCTACAATTAAATTGTCATGATGGGGATTTTTCTGACCCACATGCAGGAAACCACAAGCAGGATTCAAAGGATCGGTATCTTTATTGAACAGAAAACAGAATCCAAGCAGGGTTCAGACAGTTCAGCTGCTTTGTTCCAGATGAGGAGCAGATCCCGGAGGGGGCTTGAGGATTGGAAAGGTGGGCTGGAGACCAAACGGTGGAGAGCGGGCAGGCAGACGGAGTAACAGCGGAGCCAACTTAGTCGGACAATCAGGCGGTGAATGGTAGTCCAGCTGCTCCTTATAAGTGTTGCACCAGATGAGAAACAGGTGAGTCACCTGTCGGGTTGGCACGCCCTCCAATTGGAGATCTGTTGGCAAACCTGAAGTCTCAGCCACACACAGACATCATGACAGAAATCAGTAGATATAACTTTTAAAGGCCTACTTTATTCAAATATTGAATATAGCGTTAAAATGCAAAATGAAATAATAAAATCATTACGTATTTTTAAGAGGTCCAGTCGTTTCATCTCTCTTTTAATTTAATTACTAAAATAATGTACCAAATTGGAGATGATTAAAAGTATGAAGCTGCTGTTGCTGCACTTTATCTGTCCGTGGCGTAGAGACACGTATAAGGTGTGTTTAAGTAGTCTCCATTTAATTTCATTTTAATATAATTCTATCCTTTGATGTTGAACACAGGAGCGGAGCTAGATGGGGGGTCAGGGGTGGCCATGGCCACCCTTAGCCAATCGTTGGCCTTCCCTTGGGCCACCCTTACCATTTCTTCCCTCTAATACAGATGGTGGCAGCAGTAATACTCTTAAAGTGGAATGTTGTAACTAATTTAACATTTTAATTGTTCATATATTAACAATTACTTAAAAAACAAAAACCCTGTGGTTAATTATGCTCATGAATATATTAACATTAAAGATGATAAATACAGAATTCATGCTCTTTTCACAACTACATGTCTTAAGGGGTGAAGAGAAAATTATGTCTATCCAAGTCACCTCTGAGTCTTCAGTGAAATTACAGATAAATAACTTTAATAATAATCCATTTAATTTAGATATAAGTACTTGTAAACATTACTTCTATGCAGAATGGTTGTTGATAAAAGTATGTTAGTAATGGCAATGAATAAGATGTTCGCCACAGAACTCAAACCTGAAAGAATTTAGTCCACTACACCTTTAATTTATACAGCATGGATGTTTAAATATAGGCATCTATTTGATAGCAAAGGCTGTAGGAAAATATAGTTAGTCTTTATTTAGAAAATATAGTTGTGCTCGTTAATTTTCCTGTTGGAACAGTGTAAAATGACCCTGAGATTCTGGCACCTATCTCCAATGGCGTAACGACACAACAATAGGCCGGTAAGCAACATTATCTGGGTGCGCCCCATACGAAGTACAACACCCCAACCCCCTCACCAATTCACCCCCCACCACCCGGGCCACTGCCGTAGACAACCAACTCGAAATGTGCCCCTTACATGCACACTTTATCCTTTCATCATTCTTCACTTTCACTAGACGCGGATATACTTTAGTATATTCAGCTGGAAAATGAGTCTTATCGGCCTACATTGAGTTTCACAGCCCCCCTCCTCACCCACGCATCTCTCCATTCATCTCCTGGTTGCAATCTTTACTCACTGTAGAAGCAACGTCCACCTATTTTAGGAAGTTTTTTTTTCCGTTCTTCCAGCAGCTCTTCTTTGCTTTTTCTTTTCTGGAATCCCCTTAAGTACCTCTTTTTGGTATCCATCGTCGCTAACCCATTGTACATAACGGTTATGTTTTTAATCGACGCTCTGGATTACCCATAATTCCAAGTCGTATTGTAAAAAAATTAAATACTCAAATACATTGTTATTTTAACATCTTTATTGAGGTTTGAAACATTATAGGAGTGTATCTTTTACAAACCGTCTAATGAACTATACAGAGTTATGGACGTAGTAATTAAAAGTAGCACTGACTGCTTTGCTACTGGTGTGGTGTTTAAAGGCTCACCATCATGTTGAAATCGGCTATGTGTTGTGGTACGTATAAATACGGTCCGGTCAATCAATTGAGTTTAGGGTGGGTTTTAGACCAATTTTTTGCACCATTACATTTGCAAAGAGACATCCCAATCCACAACTGTATCTGTGGCCAATTAGGTGTCAGTGATGGGGCCCCTTACTGCATACTCTGTTTACCGATAGTTACGCCATTGCCTATCCCCTTTCGGCCACCCCTCAGTGTATTATTGCCTGGCCCACCTTATTAAAATGTTCTGGCTACGCCTCTGGTTGAACGGTGGAGCGCACAGGCTTTTAAATGTGTGAGAGAGAGTGGTGCTTTGTGAGTGTGTAGAGAGGGAGAGAGGGAAAGACAGAGCGCGCGCACTCCAGGTTGGCGCAGGCACCGGTCCTGGAGAACTGAACGCCTTGGAGCTGGCAGCATGGCTTCATCTCACGGAAGAAGCGACCTGCGCTTCGCAGACTGGATGGCAAGTTTACCGCAGAGCATGCACACCGTCCCGCTTGCCAACATGGCAATCCCCGGTAAGGTTTTATTATCTCCTCTGCTTACACCTTTACCCCTTGTTCTGATCCGCAACTGTTTCCAGCAGCGCGAGTCCGATCCTTTCATAATAGCTAAACATTTACGGTAATAAAACCACTTTTCAAACTCTGGCGTTTCACTTTGACTTGAAACAAAGCATATCAAAGAATTGTGCTCCACTTGAACTGTGCGTCAACGCAACAAAAGGTGAGACCTGTTGCGCAACAGATGTGCCATCCATTTGTTAACGCGGTGCGCCTATAAATAGCACAGGGATGAGCGCTCGCTTTTATGTCCTTATTACCTCAATACTAGAAGAGAGAAATGGTGAGAATAGCCGCTCCTGCTTGTGGCGGGGTTGTGCCCAGAAGGGGATAGGATGGGTTCTGTCAGGGCGCAGATGATGATGGGGATGATGATAGGAAATGAGCTGTTAGACCTTCACCCAGTCAGTGCGCAGGTCTCTTAAACTCCATTCAAAGCAGACACGCTGTTTGTGGAGCTCAGCGCTCATCTGGCCGATAGGTTTGCTTATTAAAAGCCCATTAATCTCAAAATCTGCTGCCCTACCGATTAATGCTCCACAAAAAAGATCCTGTTTCTCTTAAATTTTTAACCCCTGTCCTGCTGATAGAGCAATCGCATGCTTTCTAAAGCGCATATAAAACTATAGCTGTTTCTTACATGCAAATGAAATAATACTCAATGTCCAATGAGGCGTGGCATTTTTTCCCACCAGCAGTGGTCAGCTTCCGATGATGCCTAACCACATGCAAGCATGTATTTCCTTATAGATTTCACCTGTCACTAGGACAGGGCTAGGAATGAATTGCATGCTTTGCATGTAGCTGATTCACAATTTCCCGTGACAAAAGCAGCGTGAGAATATGTTCTGTCTCATTTAATTAGGTGTCATTACTTCTCTGCAGCCCTGCTGCTGCCCTTTGCCTGTCCTCCATTTGGATGCTGGTTTTGAAAAGGCTCAGTTAGTCTGGCTTTTTGCATTTGTTTGCATACAATTGGCATAATGTTTTTAGAGATGATTCTACAAATTCCCAGCGTTTTTAGAATGGTTTATTCCAGCAGGAACCATGTGTTCCTTTCAGGTTGGATTCTGATTTTTAAAAGCTCGTCTGACATCACATTTGGATTCAACTTGAAAAAACCTTTATTAAAGTACCATTATAATTGAAGAAATTTTATTTTGCAGGATGTATGATTAATCATAAGGGCTGTTTACTTGTACAGTGTACCACAGTTTGGATGATACAGGTCACAATGATTTCTTCTGCCAAGAAGCTCAAAGACAAGGCTGTCTGCGTTCCCAGTTTTTCACAGCTGTAAGCTTGTAAATGCCTTCTGTGTGCTGTGGAAATTGTTTCCTTTGAGGTATTATGCTGCAGAACTGATTTTTGCGGGGGGTGTTCATGCCTTTATAACACAATGGTTTTTCAGAGACTCATGCCAGGTTGACTGACATGATACGACAAAGTTGATAGGTTACATCTGCATATACTGGTGATACTTTCTCAAATGACTAGGATAATTCTTTCTACCACCGAAAGACGTCCACCTTTGTCTTAATACCTGAATAAGCAGTTTGGTTTGCTTGTGTATAAAAAAAAATCTATCTTGAACTGGTGCACTGAAAAGATGAAGAGGTTAATAACAAGCAGACACTTCAGTCGATAATTGAGCCTGAGGTGGTAGCAGTGGTGAAGCAGTGGCTAATCTCAAAGTGACCTAGCTCTAAGAACTATGCTACAATCTAGCTCTAAATATGAACAGTCTGATCTATTTATGGATCGACTTCAGTAGACCCTTAAAGATTTGCTGTGATATCGGACACTTAATCATAGAAAAAAAGTAATTCGAAGTCCTGCCAATTTTGAGATGGATACTACCTGTTCCCTACAGATGCTTGATTGGATTAAGGTTTGAGGAATTTAGAGACAAGTTAAGTCCTTGGGCTTCACAAAGCGTTCCTGAACCTGATATGTTGGTTTATAGTTTTTTTTTTATTTGACCCACAGGCAGAATCACACAGAGAACCAGTGAGTTTTAACGTTTTATCCACAAAACAACAAACATCTGGATGTGGAGAATGGCTGGAAGTCAGTTGAACTGTCTGGTTGGTCTCAGGAGAGAAAAAAGGGTGATCAGGAAGGACTTGGTTGATGACAACCATAAAATGATTGATTTGCGTACTTGAGGGATGAAGGGGAGGTAGCATGGATCTGTAGGGGTTTGATTTAGTGGGCTTTGCCGACTGTACCCCAGATGTTCAGGAGAATGTGATTTTGATGCGGGAGCATTGGTACTTGCAAGAGACGTTTTGCTGGAACAATAACAGAGTCCACATTAAAAGAGATTCACAAGAAGATACATTTAAATAAGAAGGATATTTCTGGTTTAGGTCTTTGGCTAGAATACCAGCAGGGGTAGTCATCTGGCAAAGAGAGATGATACTCTGCCCCCTTATATACACACTAGACATCTTGATTGAGAACTTTTCTTAGGTGTGCAGCAAATTGCATCGGCCCAGCTATCAGGAAAGATCCTCTCTGTGCGAGGAAGCTCATTCACACAAGAAACACAGCAAGAACCCCAGAGACCCTAACAGAACCAATTTTAGCTGCAGGGTATTGCTTTATTTATCCTACTAAATAATGCCACAATAATGAGGAATTGCTTTCCGATGAAACTTGTACATAAAAAGCAGGAATGCTTAAATAGGTGATATATGTCAGAGTAAGCCTAAACCACTGCTCTGCCTCCAGCGGCTTAAGATGCACCAATCCTATACCTGGTTTGGACATCGGCTCTGATACTAATAAGCTGGATCGGATATCAGTGATTTGATATTGGATATCGGAGATCCAATCCAGCACACTTTACATGGAAAAATTATTTCTTTCTTTTTGCTGCTTATTTGTTGATAATTGGTGTAGAGTACATTTATATCAGTATTAATTGGTTACCTTCTTTTAACAATATTTATGTAAGGCCAAAGCCTTCATTCACATGCCAAGATATATGGTTCATTATTCAACAGTAGAATTGGACAGGTATTAGTTGATATGCTCAGCTCAGGTATCTATATCCTACTTTCCTTGGTAGAAAATCACCAGTGAAAGAAACCATCTAGTCGCTGACAGGATTTATCAGATCTGACCACAGTATACTGTTATATATTTCCTATCATGAAAGCGGGACAGATGGACCCATTATTCAAGGTGAGACAGTCAGTAGGAAAGTTCAAAACGTTTATTAAAACAAGCACAGTGACAGAACTGAAGTGGGCTGCTGAGGATATGCGGACCTGTAGCGACTGCAGGAGGGGGGCTGGGCACCGCCCAATCACTGACACTCTGGTTTAACAGTTCAGTCCATCCTCTCAATCATATTCAGGATCAGCCAATGCACTGCCAACGAATAGCGGCCCTGAGCCGTCCAGAGCATCCCCAATGCAGCAACCTCAGTGAGGAAGCATAACTCCGATCCAGGACAGGGATTAAGATCAGACTTGAGTAGTTCTATAATCCAGGAGAGGTTCCGATCCACACAGGAACGGACAGATCTGGGTTCCAGGAATTCATCAGGGCGTGAAGGCAGGTTCAGAGTCCCATGTGTCGAGCATCCAGCTCAGACAGAAATGCACCTGGGAGGCAGAATCCAGCAGGAGTCCAACCGGGGTTCAGGTGAACAGATCAAGCAGGGATAGGCAGGGCCAGTGGATGAGAGGGAACAGAATCAGGAAAACAGAATCACTCAGGAAAAACTAAAAACGCTCTCACCACTGGTTAAGGATTTAACTAGGCTAGGGGGCTGAAAAATAATCTCCTGCTGGGAATGGGGACATGAACCTTGGAAATAACTAAAACTGACAGAGAGGACACAAACAGAAGGCAAACAGGGAACAACCAAACAGCAAAAAATGATCTGGCCATGATAGCTGGAACGGAGTGCGATATAAGGGAAACCAGCAGGTGGATGAGATGAGTGATAATTAGAAACTGGAAAGAGTTAAGCAAGTGAAAGGCGTGAGTAATTAAGGGGAGCTATCAGGGCAGATCATTACATTTCCGATGCTCCATGACACATGGTTGGTACTTTTATTGGTTAGCGTGGGGTTAGCTTGCACATCTTGGGTGCTCGTCAGTTATGCAGCTTGATAAGATACTGTTCTCTAGAAAGTTTTTAAATAACTTTGTATTTAAACCAGTTATGGGGGATCTGGATTCGATAACTCATCTCTATGTCATATATTTGTTTTGCCCAGCCACTGAACCTGGTCACTCGGCAGATCGGACTCACCTGGTTCAGTGGCTGGGCAGAACAAACATATGACATAGAGATGATTTCTTTTTACTCCAGATCCCCCATCTCTGATTTAAACCCACCATTACATTTTAGCCATAGTTAGTGGTCTGTTGGATTGGAGCATGCAGGCCAGCATCCTTATATGTATATCCAGCTCATCACTGTTACCTCCTCTGACATCATTGAGAGATTCTGACCATTGCAGACTAGAACCCCTAAGCACCTTAAGGTTTTGAGACACGCTGACTGAGTTGTCTAAAATATCCCTGGTGAAACTTACTATAATCTTATCTTCAACTATTTTTCCCCTGGTTCAACACCTGTGGTTCAGGATGTTCCCACAACCGGGTGCCATTACGGAGTTGCTGAAATGTTTTTTTTTCCCAATTAGTTAATACTTTATAGAAACAGCTAATTTACATCTCATTAAAACATTCCATTCTCATTTTTTCAAGAGCATTTCCTTAATTTATCAAGTTTGCTTGTATTCTCCCAGAACAATCAGTGAATCGCTCAGCCTTTATTGCTTTATAATAAATCAGTCTGTTTCACAAAGGAGTGGGTTTTGTTACAAACCCAAATGGTGGAGCAGAACATTTGCTTCTGGTCTAAATAGAATAGAAACTGTCTGACCAGTATTCACTTGACCTCTTCAGTTTAGGCAATTTTAGACCAG